GCCAGCGCAGAGATGGTTCAGTGATTAAGAATACATATTGTTCTTGAAGAGGCCCCAAATTCATTTCTTAGCACCCACATTAGGTGGCTCACAACCTCCTATAGCTCCAGATCCCAGGATCCAACACCTTGTTGTGGCCTTCACAGGTACCTGCCCTCAAGTACATAAACCCTCACACAGACATACATAAAACTTAAAATAAAAATGAAGTCTAAAAAAAAAGAGAAAGAAAATTCTAACAGATGCTTTTTTACTTATTAGGTATGGTGCACATACTAGGCATATGTTCTATTATTCAACATTTAGAGCCCTTCCATATACCCTTTTAAGTATTTACTTGAAATATAAAAGTATAGGGCTAGGGATATTGCTCAGTTGTAGCTTGGTCTTTATTAAACTTTGGATTCAATTCTTAGTACCACAAAATAAATGAATAAATAAACAAACAATATATACAAGTGTAGGTACCATCTAGGCATATAAAAATCGTTTAGTGAGAAATTTAAAATATATTTTTCCATTGGTATATATACCAATGATAAAATATATATAAATATATTTATATATACCAAATATATAAATGATAAACTCAGAGGTAAGATGAATCAAAACAAGTTGGGCAGTAAGAGAGAGTCAATATTAAGGGGCTGGAGAGATGGCTCAGAGGTTAAGAGCACCAACTGCTCTTCCAGAGGTCCTGAGTTCAATTCCCAGCAACCACATGGTGGCTCACAACCATCTGTAATGAGAACTGATGCCCTCTTCTGGCCTGCAGGCATACATGCAGACAAAACACTGTATACATAATAAATAAATAAATCTTTTAAAAAAAAAGTCTTAAAAAAAGGAGATACTCAATATTAAAATTTAAAAAGGAGATGTAAAATAGTAAGATGTTTCAATAGTAAGAAGGTACCTATAATAACTCTGATGACAAATATTAAAAAAAAACCTAGAAAAATCTAATTTACCAAATGTGACACCCTGAATTAATTTAAAAAAATCTGAGTAGCCCTTAACCACTAAAGAGATTAAACCACTAGCCTAACATCTGCCACCAACAAAACTGTAGGATCAATTAAATTATTAAATGCAATGACAAATGTTTATGGCAGCAGTGATTAGGAGCAGTCCAATAATGGAGGTATGGTGAGGAACAGAATATATTCTTGGTGATTATGCTAATTAATGTGAAAACACACACACAGACACACATGTCATCATTTGGAAGACCTGTACAATTTAGGGAACCAGTATTTTCCCAAAAGACTAATGGAAGAATGAAAACCCTTCAAAGTACAAACTAGATAAACAGATTTTAATAAGTTCATTCATAGTTTCAAATTTACACTGTAGGCAACTTTTAAGAAACTATATTATCAAAATTGATGAATATGAAAGAAAACACAACTATCTGAAAATATCACTAAAATGTCTCTCCATTTCCAAACACTTTGCTAGCCAATGTCAGTGCAGAAGTAATACTTGAGCAATTAAAGGTCACATGAAAACTATTTGCAAAACCATAGTACAATGCCACTCTTATCACTAATTTTTTTGGAAGGGAAATAGCTATTTTTCATTAAAAATGTTACCTAAGTCAAGATGTAATCAGTTTAGTTCTTAAAGATACCAATAAATATGTTTGAAAGTAATCAGTTTAACATCTAATGCATTATCATTAAACAGATATAACTGGAGTGTGCAATAGTTTTAGAACTGTAAAGGAGTTGGCTGAGGATGTAGTAGAGTGCTTGTCTAGAATACACAAAGCCCTGCCTCAATCCCTAGCACTGCATAAATTTAGCGTGGCAGTATGTCTGTAATCCTTGCATTTAAGAGAAGGCAGCAAAAAGATCAAGAGTTCAAATCCAGTCTTTGCTACATAAGTTCAAGGCCAGCCTGGGCTACAGTTTTAAAAAAATGTGTAAAAGACCATGGACACATGCTGTAACATAAATCTTGGCATATAAAACAAAACATGAATATAAAATATGATTCTCTTTAAGTTCAAAACAGGTGAATATTTGTGGGTTAATGAAAGGAAGACCATGGTGACAGTTCAACAATACTTTCCTTCTAGAATAGACACAACACAAACCATTTCTAAGGTATCTGTAGTGCTCTACTAAGCAAGGTGCAGAGACAGTCTTCCTTTTTTTTGTAAATGCATTTTCACACACAATAAAAATCTATTCTCTTAGAAGGGGGGAAAAACAATATCTTTTCTTAAATGAACTTATAAATGCAATGAATAAGCTATTCAATGCAAACACAAGTATTCCAATGAGATTTTTCTATAGAAATTGAGATGATTCATCTGGAAGAAGAAAAGAAAGAAAAGGAAAAAAAAAAAAAAGGGCTCAGAGGTTAAGAGCACTGGCTGTTTTTCCAGAGGACCTGAGTTCAATTCCCAGCAACCACATGGTGGCTCATAACCATCTACAATGAAATCTGGTGCCCTCTTCTGGCCTGCAGGCTGAACACTCACTATATACATAATAAATAAATAAATCTTTAAAAAAGAATCCACAGCATTCCCTGGTCCCCCAAAATAAAGTATCAATGTATGTTATAAAGCTACCATAACTAAAACAGTATGGTAACTGCTAAATAGGTCAAAGAGGAGGGTTCAGATCCAAGGTCATAAACAAGGGATAATGGACTGTACCAAATGTTTGACTTTCTTACTCACTAGGCAAGATTAAAAATTAAAATAAGACCTATTAACTATTAGATGGGTAAAGATGTTTAGAAAACACTGTTACCATCCAGTGCTGCCTAGCAGTAATGAAAACCATACCTAAGGGGAAATGAAAATTTAAAAATACAATCACTCCAGGGCATTTAACAGACTGCCAGCATTCTCATAAGAATTTGATTCTACAGAAACATTATCAGCAGCACCTAAAGCATGTTTATAATAGCTGCAAGGGGGGGGGGGAATCACAGCTTACAGTATTGTTATAAGAAAACGTTAAAACAGGGCTGGAGTGATGGCTCAGAGGTCCTTAGTTCAATTCCCAACAACCACATGGTGGCTCACAACCATCTATAATGAGATCAGGCGTCCTCTTCTGGCATGCAGATGTACATTCAGACAAAACACTGTATAGATAATAAATAAAAATCTTTAAAAAAAGAGAATGTTAAAATGTCCACTGATGAGACACAAAGAATAAACATGTCTAATATATTTGTACTAAATAGATATGCTATGGGTAACAATATCAGGCAAGTTTCCTGGCAGTTTTCAAATTTCAATTTATTTAAACAAATGTTTGGGCTAGAAGAGATGCCTGTCATTTATCTTTTTTATTTAAGAATGTAATGGTTAGGAAACGTATTAGCAACACATTTCAAACATCCTCTTCCTTAAAATAATAATTACAGCCGGGCGGTGGTGGCGCACGCCTTTAATCCCAGCACTCGGGAGGCAGAGCCAGGCGGATCTCTGTGAGTTCCAGGCCAGCCTGGGCTACCAAGTGAGTTCCAGGAGAGGCGCAAAGCTACACAGAGAAACCCTGTCTCGAAAAACCAAAAAAAAAAAAAAAAAAAAAAAAAAATAATAATAATAATAATAATAATTACAGACAAATAGTTATCTTCTTTTTTCAACGTGGGCTCACTAGGTATTGACTGATATACTGGTGACAATGGAGCTCTCCTTTACTACAAGACAATTTTCCAATAGAAAAGCATTCTCTTACACTATCAGGTATATGTGCTTTGTACTAAACCTGTTAGGTAGGATTTCCAACAATCTCAGATTCTATACTATTATACATACATCCGTTTTCTTTTTGCTTTCTTAGGGGGGAACACTGTGAGTCCTCAGGTCATTTGTATTATACAAGTTTAGGAAAGATTTTCATTAACTTCCCCATTCTAATTTCACCTTCAGAGAGAATACTCGTTAGAGTTGCTTAAAGTTAGGCATTTCAAACTGCTAAATCGCGATGAAAAGAAACTCGAAAACTTTCAATCTCCGATTTTGAAGTTAAGCCACGTTTTCCTACCAAGTGCTGGCTGATACTGTCTTCTAACCAACTTCGGGACCAACCACTATTCCTTCAACGTTCCTCCAGCCGGCTGCTGACTTCCATATGGGGAGGCCCATTGACACGTAATAAATAAATAAATAAGTAATGCCACGTGTTGCCTTGGATTCCACAGACTTCACAAACTTGAGTTGAGCCGTTTCCCTAAGAAACCTCCAGGAACGAGCCAGTCCGCCCCGAACACAGGGAAAACTTGAGCGCAGTATTTCCCACATCCCTCGGGAATGGAGCTGACCGGTGACAGGCGACACACACACACACGAAACGCTCCGGAGTCCTTCCGCCCCCAAGTGCAGAGACCACTTCCGAAGCCCTCCACGGGCTCGCACCAGGACTACCTTCTCCGAGCTGGAGCAAAAATAAGCGTGGCTCCCTGTCCTGGGCGACCGAGGGGTCTGCCCAGTGGCCCCCGAGCGACGCCCACCCCCGCCCGGCCGCCCTCAATCCCGGCGGAGCTCACCCCTGCCCACGGCTGTCTGTGGAGGGCCTCGCCCGAGACGCCCCCCCGACCCGAGGGAGCGTTACCTGTCCCCGGCGCGGCCGCCTTCCCCGAGGAGCTGAGCTCGCCGCTCAGTGTCCTTCCCATGCTTGGCCGGCCCGTCCCTTTCTCCTCCTGGCCCCTCGTCCTGCGGCGTCTCCCGACCTCTCCTCACAAACCCGGGCCTCCCGGCTGCGCGCGCTCCACTCCCTCAGCCTCACAGGCGGGTAGCAGCCCTCGGAACAACCCCGGCGCTGGGAACGGGTCGACTCTTTTGGCCCCCGGCGCCAGCAACCGGAAGTAAAACCTCGTGGCCCGAGGAAAAAGGGAGGGGGCCGGAGAGACAGAAAGTGAAAACTGAAGCTCCCGTGGGCTCCTAACAGATGCCGGCCAATCACAAGGAGGACGCCGAGGCGCAGGCGCGACCGTCGGCGGCGTCCACGTTGCGCTTGCCTTTCCTCTCTGCGCAGGCGCGAGGGCCACCGCTCGCTCTGGATTGGACAGCCAAGCCAGTTCCGTCGTTTCTCGCGGGACATAGGCGGCCGGATATGGATGGCGTGCACAGGAAGCCAGCATCCTGAGTCAGGTCAGCCTCTGGTGTCTTGCGGGTTGCTTAAGCCAGATTTCCGGTGTTTCGTGTACCAGGTGTTATAATGTGACAGGACAAGATAGTACAATGACTCTTCCATCTTGTGTTCTTGCTGAGGCCATTTCAGGTTTAACTGGAATCTGATCTTCATGGAGAATTCTGTGGAAAATTAGCCAACTCTATTCTAGGTCCCATGCCCCAGCTAATTTAGCTTCTGTTTAACTGCTTGCTTGTTCATACCTTACCCCCTGCAGCTGCTGAGTGAAATACCAGCATGTAGTTTTGCCCTTAAAAACCCCTTAGTGTAAATGTTGGAGGCTACACTTAGGTCCAATTACCTGAGTATAGTCTCAGCCAGCTGGGTAAAGACTATCAACTGGCCATCAACTGAGCGATCATCTCTGGTGACTCTGGGTGGGTTGGTCTGGCCCAAGTGTGACATTTCAGAAACCTCACTGCTGTTTGAATTTACTGAATATTAAATCCACACAAAACTTAAGTTCATTGTGTGAATTCCCCAAACCAACTTGAAGTTTATTATCTATGTGGAAAGTGTTGAGGTGACTATAAGTAACAATTCTGGTCTCTCCTCACTAGAGATAAATATCCCTGAAAGAAATTAAGCAGTACCAAGCCATAGACCATGTGCCATGGTTTAAATATTTGTTACAATGAGACTTAGGTATTCAATAGCATAGTATACTTGTGCCGAGTGCTATATTATGAGATTAGGGCCATGAACAAGGAAAAGAAGGACCCTATTCATAATTGAGTTCATTGTAGAGGTGAATTAAATTATAAGGTACCACAATTATTTCAGGTAATAATGTGCTGTGAAAACCTAGTAAATGGAGTTGGAAGTTGGAGACTGGAACAGAAGAAGAAGGACGATTAAGATGCACCTAAAAGGGAATGCTTGAAGTTAAAACTCAAAGATAAAAGTGACCAAATGAATCCTTTGAGGTAGAGTTTTATGAGCAGAAAGGAAAACAAGTGTAACCTCCCCCACAAAGGTGAAAATAAGTGTTCAAGAATCCAAGAAGGATCCCTGAAAAGTGAAAAAACAGAAGATATTCACAGTGCCTAAGAGCTGAGAGAACAGTCAGGCAATTGCCTACCACACAAGCATGAGGATCTGAATTCTGTCTCCAGAACTCATGTAAGGGGAAGAGGTGGCCCAGTTTATAATCCCAGCACCGAGAAAGGGGAAGCAGGTAAGCCCTGCCTAGTCTCTTTGTGAATCCAAGGCCAATGAGACCCTGTCTTAAAAGATAATATGGACAGATGCTGAGGAACAACACCTGAAGTTGACTTGTGATCCCCACACATATTGCACACATGCACCACACACAAACATGCACCTGCACACATCTACATACAGACAGAATAAAAGTACATAAAACCTAAGCAAAGGATGTAGTTCAGTTGTTTATCCAGTATGCAGGAAGCTCTAGGTTTGATCCCCAGAAATGCATAAATTGGGTATGGTAGTGCAGGCATATAATCTCTGAAGGTGGAGGTAAGAAGATTAGGAATTCAAAGTCATCCTCAGCTACATAGCAAATTTGAGCCTAGGCCAAACCACAAGAGTGCCTGTCAAAAACTGCACAGACTGTACACCTTAATGGTTTGTCTTAAACCAGTTAGGGCAAGAAATAGCCCACTGCCAGGTTTCTGGTGCATCAGATATATGATGGGATCTGATGAGATCTGTGTTTTGGAAATACTCTAATGACCACATAACACACTGGGTTTGACGTTGTTGGTTTTTTACTCTTTGGTCTCTTTGGGGGGCCCGCCACCCGGCTCCCAAATAAATCACACAGAGGCTTATTATTTCTTATGAATTCCCAGCCTTAGCATGGCTTGTTTCTTGCCAGCTTTTCTTAAATTATCCCATCCACCTTTTGCTTCTGGGCTTTTTCCTTTTCTTAATTCTGTATATCTTTCACTCTTACTTTGTGGCTGGCTGGGTGGCTGGCCCCTGGAGTCTTCCACCTTCTCTTGTTTCTAGATCTTTCTCTCCTCCCAGATATTTCCTCCTCTTTATTCTCTCTGCCTGTCAGCCCTGCCTATCCTTTCTCCTGCCTTGCTGTTTGGCCATTCAGCTCTTTATTAGACTAATCAGGTGTTTTAGGCAGACAAAGTAACACAGCTTCACAGAGTTAAACAAATGCAACATAAAAGAATGCAGCACATCTTTGCATCATTAAACAAATGTTCCACAGCATAAACAAATGTAACACATCTTAAAATAATATTCTACAACAGTTTGGAGGTGTGGGAGTGAGGCAGAGGAAGAAACTAGAATAGACTTGGTTTTTGGATTATAGTTTCCATTTCTTTCCCGTCCCCCATGGTACCTTGTACAAAATTTTACTCCAAACAATCTTAATATGTAAATACCGACTTACTGAGTGTGTTTCATTGCAGTAGAAAGAGGAAAGAACCAGTGGAAGAAAACAAAGAACAGTGCATTCAAAGAACCAGAGCATACTGAGTTAATTATTCCACTGCTTTGGGGGGAAAGCCCTGTAAAATTGGTCCAGTAATGATTTATGTTACTTGAAATCTTCTTGTTCCAAATCTGCTCTTAAGTTAGCTGCTAATTTTACTTTCTCATTTGAATAATAGCAATCTCAGATGTGAATACGTGCAAAGAACAAGAAATATATATGCATAAACACAGACACATGTCATAATACTCTGTCTTAATCACCGTTCTATTGCTGTGAAGAGACACCATGACTAAGGCAACTCTTATAAGAGAAAGCATTTAATTGGGGGCATGCAGCCGGGCGGTGGTGGCGCAGGCCTTTAATCCCAGCACTCGGGAGGCAGAGGCAGGTGGATCTCTGTGAGTTCGAGGCCAGCCTGGTCTCCAAAGCAAGTTCCAGGAAAGATGCAAAGCTATACAGAGAAACCCTGTCTCGAAAAACCAAAAAAAAAAAAAAAAAAAATTGGGGGCATGCTTATAGAGATTTAGTCCATTGTCATCATGACAAGGAGCATGGTGGCATGCAGGCAGTGCTGGAGCAGTAGCTGAGAGCTACCTCATATCATAATCATTAGGCAGAGAGGGGGCTTGTTGAAACCTCAAAACCTGTCCCTAATGACACACTTCCTCCAATAAGGTCACAACTTTAATTCCCTTTAACTTTTATTCCCTTTAATCCTTTCAAATAGTGCCACTCCTTGGTGACTAAGCATTCAAATATATGAACTTCTGGGAGCCATTCTTACTGAAAGCACATGTACCCATTATTTTGTATGATAGGTAAACAATTCACAAAAGAGGGGGAAATTAGAAAGAGAATGGCTTCTTAGTAAAGAAGGCTTCCTGGGGTGGAAAGTGAGTTCCTATTACTGAAGACATCATGCACTTCAAACACAGGACCCAGAGGCCCCTGAGCTGTAACTGACCTGAAAGCTAGTTGATGATTACCAGAAGGCACCATGTAAGCTTCCAAAAGAGGGAATCAACCTAACCGGCTATGACACCTATGAACCACAACAATGACCAACAAGGCACGATAACCCTTAGGGTACAATAATGGTACACATATGTAGTAACCAACATCTCTCTAATTGGATTTAAGACATGCTCAGTAAGAAAGCAATCATGCCTGGTACTGGGAACCTAGCCAATTTCTTGGGGCTGGTGATATCATGAATCTTGGAGAACTATAACTACTTTACCAGCCTAATCCCCAACTATATTCTAAATATTTCTTCTTCTTCTTTTTCTTTTTTGAGACAGGGTTTCTCTGTGTAGCTTTGGAACCTGTCCTCGACCTCACTCTGTAGACCAGGCTGGCCTCAGACTCACAGAGATCTGCCTCCCTCTGCCTCCCTCTGCCTCCAGAGTGCTGGGATTAAAGGCATATGCCACCACAGCCGAGCTCTAAATATTTATTCTTACACCCACAGATAATTGTAGTCTCACATCAGGGAAACATCTCTTTGCAACTGGTGGAGACAATTAGAGAAAACCACAACCAATCAAAATGCAGAATAATGAGGCCCAGTCTCAATGGATACATCTACAATACAACTCCATCACCTAAAACTCAGGAAACATTGTGGAAGAGTGGGTGGAAAGATTGCAGAGCTAACATGAAAGGGAGAAATCCCAGGAGGCCTCAGCCCTACAGAAAGAACTACAGGTAGCTAAATAAGACTGAAATCTGAAGAAACTGCTTTCCCCTGGAAAGAGCACACTAAATTGGTTATTCAATACTAAAAATGGTCACCCCTGAAAACATACAAATGACGTTATACAAACTGGGCAGGTTGTACTTACGTATTTAAGTGTGTGTGTGTGTGTATTTATATACATATGTAACAACAATGAAAAAAGGCAATGAATTTGAAAAAGAGCAAGAAGAAGTATAGGGGAGGGTTTGGAAGCAGGAAAGGGAAGGATTTTATCTAATTTTTGTTTTATCTGAAATTATCTAATCACATTACTCTCCAAAGTAAAAAAAAAAAATAAAAAAATAAAAGTTTTTAAAAAGAAGGCCTCCTGAGGGTCTGGAGGACCAAGGTTCTGTTTTAAGCATCTACATGGTAAATCACAACCTTCTATAACTCCAGTTGTAAGAGATCTGATGCACTCTTCTGGCCTCCGAAGGCACCAGGCACACAAGTGATGCACAGCCATATGTGCAGGCAAAAATACATAAAATTAAAAAAAATTAAGGCCTTCTATTATGCCACATTGCATAATCCCAAGAAGTGTCTACAACAAAATAAAGCATAACCACACAAAATGAGTTCAGTGCAAAAATATGGCCGGTATGTGATTATCACATTACTGGAAAGTAACAGAGATAGATAAGGTAGACAGGTAGCCTCAAACTACACTGTAAGTCAGTCTTTCCAGCTTGGGAACAGGTTGCTCATTTCTCTTATAAAGAAAAAACAGTCTAGTATTGACTTAGTCATGTGGTTGTTAGTAGTCACTCTTATGCAGATCTATAATGAAAAAGAGCAATCTAGACAAAGAAAAGTGAAAATGTGCAGTTCGAGGAGAAAAGGAGCACCAGGAAGTGTTTTGTTAGAGCCAAGTCCTGTGATCAAAAAGACAAAAAGTTTAAAGAAAAGCCTGATTCTAGCTGGGCGGTGGTGGTGCATACCTTTAATTCCAGCACTCGGGAGGCAGAGGCAGGCCAGCAGATTTCTGTGAGTTCAAGGCCAGCCTGGTCAGCAGAGCGAGTTCCAGGACAGGCTCCAAATGCTACACAGAGAAACTTTGTCTCAAAAAACAAAAACAAACAAGAAAAGAAAAGAAAAAAGCTTGATTCTAAATGGAATAAAGGGAGTTTTGGCCTCAGGGGAAAGCCCCACCGGACCAAGCTTCCAACTCCTGAAAGTAATTAAAGAAAAGCTTAAGCAGTAAAGGAAACCATTAAAAAGAGAAAGCTCTTGCAAATGCAGTTGAAGGAGGAGGCCAAGTTCCAGCCCTATCAATCAGTGGAACTTGGCAGCTTCAGGGAGAGACTGGAATAGTGGGAGCATTTAGGTGGTTCTGGCTTTATAGTCAAGGATACAAGAGAGGGATTGTGGAGTTTCCCTTTGTAGCTAAGGGAAGCTGGCCAGGCCAGGTCAGGGGTGTCTCAGCATGGAGGCCAAGAGAGGATATGTATAAAAACTGTGAGGGTGAATCCTGGATTATGTTGTAGACCCCAAGATATGTGATGCCAGAATCATGGGATACCTGTCAAGGAAAGTTGCAGACTGGGTATGGAACCAGCACAGGAGAGAAAAATATGTTGCAGTCAACAAAGCTGAAAGGATTTGGAGATCTGAAGCACCCTTTGACATCAGACATGGAGATGCAGAATTTGGAGTTTGCCTTACTGAGTTTTAGCCTTGCTTTGGTCTAGTATTTCCTCACTATGCTTCTTTCCTTCATTTTTGAATAGTAATGTATATTCTGTGCCACTGTATGTTAGAAGTATACAATCTGCTTTTTTTTGGTTTTGATTTTATAGGGGGTTACATGAGTTTCAGAAGAGACTTTGAACTTTGTACTTTTTTTTTTTTTTTTTTTTTTTGGTTTTTCGAGACAGGGTTTCTCTGTGTAGCTTTGCGCCTTTTCCTGGAACTCACTTGGTAGCCCAGGCTGGCCTCGAACTCACAGAGATCCGCCTGGCTCTGCCTCCCGAGTGCTGGGATTAAAGGCGTGCGCCACCACCGCCCGGCTGAACTTTGTACTTTTAAACAGTGTTGAGAGTGTGATAGACTGTGGTGACTTTGAAGTTGAACTGAATGCATTTTTGCATTTTGATAAGGCTGCAAGCCTATAGGAGTCAGGGAATGGAATGTGGTGGTTTAAATAATAATGGCCCCCAGAGGTTCATATATTTGAATACTTTGTCACCAGGGAGTGGAACTCTTTGAAAAGATTAGAAAGATTACAGGGCTTGGCCTTTTAGGAGGAAGTGTGTCACTCGGGGTGGGTTTTGAGTCAACAAGCCCCACTCCCCTCTCCCTAATGGTCATGGAGTAGCTCTCAGCTACTGCTCTAGCACTGCCTGCATGCTACCATGCTCCCTGCCATGATGTTAATAGACTTAAACCTCTGAAACTGTAAGCAAGCCCCCAATTAAATGCTTTCTCTTGTAAGAGTTGCCTTGGTCATGGTGTCTCTTCACAGAAATAGAACAATGATAAAGACACAGAAAAAAAAATTCTAAGGAACTACTATGAACAACTCATGACAACAAATTAGGTAAATTGGATAAACAAATTTTGAAACAGGAACAGATTGCTAAAACTGACCCCAGAAGAAATAGAAATGTAGGCTAGCAGGATGACTCAGTGAGCTAAGGCACTTGCCTCTAAATCTAACAGTCTGAGTTCATACCTTAGGACACATATTGTGGAAGGTGAGAATTGACTCTTGCAAGTTGTCCTCTGATGACTATACACATGCTTACCACAGATAAATAAGTGTAATTAAAATTTTAAAAAGTAATAGAAAATGGGAATAAACCGATCTCAAGTAGGTTTAAGTCAGTAATTTAAAAGTTTGCACACACAAAAATCCCAGATTCAGGGAGCTTCACTGTGAATTCTAAAATAATGTTTAAAGACTGACATCAGTGCTTCACAACCCCTTTTTATAAACCAGATGAGATAAAATTTCCAAAATCACTCATGAGTTCATTACCTTGATACCAAAACTAGCAAAATATAACAGGAAAATTACAAACCACATTTCTTATAAATAAAGATGCAAAAACTCCTAAAAACCTTGAAGCCAGCATCACATGGAAAATTAAAATGATTAAACAGCATAACAGAATAAATCACATCTAAGTGCAAGGACATTTTAATACCAATGGCAATCAACATGATACAAAAGTATAAAACTATGGTTATTATACCAATTCAAAAGGATATGTTTGAGAAAACACATCCTTTCATGATTAAAAAAAAAAGTACATTAGGCCGGGCGGTGGTGGCGCACGCCTTTAATCCCAGCACTCGGGAGGCAGAGGCAGGCGGATCTTTGTGAGTTCGAGGCCAGCCTGGTCTACAGAGCGAGATCCAGGACAGGCACCAAAACTACACAGAGAAACCCTGTCTCAAAAAAAAACAAAACAAAAAAACAAAAAAAAAAACAAAAGTAAATTAGGGGGGCTTCCTTAATAGAGATGTCTATAAAGCACCCATTCTAATATCATACTTAATAGTGAAACACTGAATGCTTTCCCATTGTGGTCAAAAATAAGACTAGATCTGTCTGTTCCCAAGAATTCTCTTCAATATTGTACTAGAAGTATAGCAAAGAGAATAAAAAAATTCATTTATATTAGAAAAGGTGACCATAGCATGTTTGTATATGTCCCAAATCTCCAGAATGCACATGTGCATAACCACAATTAGAATTAATGAATGAATTCAGCAAGGTTGTCGAATTGGTCAATATTTTAAAAAATCCATTATCAATCATGTGTTCTACATTTATACTGAAAAATATTAAATTTAAGAAAGGCATTTCCAATACTACAAAAAACAAGACATTTAGAAATAGATTTCACAAAAGAATTGGAAGACATGAATACTGAAAGCTACAAAACAATTTTGAAAGAAAGACAAATAAATGGGCAGTTACTCCATGCTTTGAGCCAAAACATTGAACACTGTTAAGGAGACAGTGCCTCCCCAATGACCTATAAGTTAAATGCATTCTTCATCAAAATCCCAACTGATTTTTCCGTTAGCAGAAATAAGCAATCTGATCTTATAGTTCAGGTGAATGCAACGCTTCTAATACAGCTGTAAACACATTAGGAAAGGACGAAATTGACTCACTCGCTCTGATTTCTGAATTTATTACAAAGTTATGGTAGAGAAGGAATTAAGAAAGGAAAGACGGAAAGGGGGCTGGAGGAAAGGCGGGAGGGAGGGATGGAGGGGGGAGGGAAGGTGGGAAATGAATAAAGCAGAGAGGGAACCAGAACAAGGATTATTACATCACTGAAGTCTACAAGTCAAAACATGGATTTCATAAAAGAGTTCAGCGGTTTCATAAAAGTGTGACTGGCTAATGAAAGATAAGATTCTATATTAGTTTAAAAAGGGGTGGGGGGTGTTTCAGGCTTGTATACTTTTTATCCTGATTTGTTGAATGCAAAAAGAAGCCTTTGAACTTCCTAGAACAATTTTGAACATTTTACAAATTTCAGAGACTTTATGATCTTACATTAGCGCCTGAGTGATAGGTGTTTCCCTTTTACAGAGGGAAAGTTCAGTAAGATAATTCTTTGATCATTAAAAAGATACAATACCTTCTCATTTGCCTAAAACCTGCTAATGCCTTCCTTCCCTGGCAGGTGGAATGAAATACAACTTCTTCTTAAAACCACATTTTTTTTCTTTCTTCCTTCCTTCCTTTTTTTCTTTTCTTTTTTCGAGACAGGGTTTCTCTGTGTAGCTTTAGAGATTGTCCCGGAACTTGTTCTGTAGACCAGGCAGGCCTCAAACTCACAGAGATCTGCCTGCCTATGCCTCCCGAGTGCTGGGATTAAAGGCATGTGCCACCACCGCCTGGCTAAAACCACATTTCTTACCTTTACCTCTGAGAAATGTTCCTGTCTATGGTGACCAATGGGGATTTACCAGTACATTAGAGCTGAGAACTGTCCCGTTCTGAGTGGTCCTTCTGAAAGAACTTGTTGAATAAATGACCAATCAGATGCTAGCTTTCAAATCACTTTTTTCCTTTCTGACAGCAAGAAGTCAGCCACCGTGCTGATAAAGGAAGGACTTAAAGCTATGGAGCGGAAGAGAAATTGGATCCTGAAGCTCTTCCAGAATGGCATCCTGGGGACCACTCTGGGAACCAATCTGACTCAGCTTTGTCGAAGTGGTTATACTAATTTTTCCCTTCCACTGGTCAGATATAAGAATTAATTCTTCACCAGGTGTGATGCTGCACGCCTTTAATCCCAGCACTAGAGAAGCAGAGGCAGGCAGATCTCTGTGAGTTTGAGGCCAGCCTGGTCTACAAATTGAGTTCCAGGACAGCTAGGGCTGTTACATAGAGAAACCCTGTCTTGAAAAACCAAAAAAAAAAAAAAAAAAAAAAAAGAGGAAGGGTTTCTGCAATAAATACTAAAGTCAGCCATCAGAATGGAGGAAAAACACCACAAGCAATTAATAAGCAAATGATTGCTTAAGAAACATGTAGAAAGCATTAGTATAAAACTTGTATACATACATGTATATATTCATATATGCTCTGTGTGGCATATACTCAGATCTGCAGAATACTTGTCAGGGAAGAAATGTTGAAGAAAATACGAACATGCAGACATATCACACTGACAAGAAGGAATATAGAATTCTACAGCAAATATGTTAAAATAATAAAATAAAAGCCTATTACAGCTGGGTATGGTGGCACACGCCTTTAATCCCAGCACTCAGGAGGCAGAGGCAGGTGAATCTCTATGAGTTTGAGGCCATTCTGGTCTACAAAGAGAGTTCCAGGACAGCTAAGACTGTTACACAGAGAAATCCTGTCTCCAAAAACTAAAAAAAAAAAACCCCAAACCAAACAAAGCCAAAACAAAGCAAAAAGACCCCCCCCAAAGCCCATTACATCTGTTTAAAAATGCAATAAACTTGCAAGAAAACATGCAAAAGGGCTGAGGTGATGGCTCAGTGGGTAATGCGCTTGCTGCACCATCTGTGAGGACCTGAGTTTAGATCCTCAGAACTCAAATAAAAGCTGAGTGGTGTAGCCAGTCATTCATAATCCCAGCACTCCTGTACCTAGATGAGAGGAAGAGGAGGAGGCAGGAGGCTCCGTGGAAGCTCACAGGCCTGACATTTGCAGGGGTGAACAGGTGACCCTGTCTGAAACAAAGTGGAAGGCGAGGACTGATGAGGGTATCCTCTGACTGGCACATACATACCAACAGGTACACTCACATACACATCATACAAAGAATGAAACAAACAACTACAAGAGCCAAAATTTGATAGACAAATGGCCAAAAGGATGTAGTAAACACACATTACTAAAAGGCTTGGAATTTTATTCCAAGACTTCCCCAGGAGTTTGGATCTTCAACAGATAGCATTCAAGGCCCCCTAAATAAATGCAGCACCTGTGGTCCAACATGCATATAAAGTTTAGGGTCATCCAAGCGTTCTTACCTCAGAGGATGACTTCTAGTGCTGTTTCCAACAATCCTGACGTTTTCATGTTCAAGTCAGAATGTATTTCTATACTGAGGCTCAATACAGGTTAAAGTGAGAGAATATCCCAAGAGGTTGCAGTTAACTTTGATAAGATTAAGTCTTCTGAAAGAAGAAAAGGAAAGAAAATCATAATGAAGCATAGTACTGTTCACTTACTGGTTGACTCGGAATCCCCGGGGAAGACTGGTTTCTCATTTCTGCCTGGCTGCTCATGGCACGCCAGCTTGCTTCTGCTAAAATGGTTAGCGAGACACCAGATTAAAACTGTCCACCAAGAAATGTGTTTTTCGTCAATGAACTTCAACTATTTGAAAGTTATTATTTATTTTGAAAAGAATCAGGCATTTTGATCACTAGCTTCACTGGAAGGTTCTTTTTAAAGGCATGAATGTCAGGATACTTTGCTCAGCAGGATTGGTGTAAACTATAGAAGGCCAGTTTTGGCAGCTAGGCACATTTTGCAAGTGGGTACGCGTTTTAGGAACCAAACATTTTACATACGGACACAGGTATCCGGGCTTTTCGTCTAAACATCGGACTTGTTAATAGACACGTATTCACACGTGTAACGTGTGAACACGGGCGCACATTTTGCACACTTCAGTCTGCATGTGCAAGTATGCACACCTTTGGTGGTGACAGCAGAATGGGACGCACGAGTTGCGCTCTGCGAATCAACAGAAACTACAACTCCCAGAGGTGGCTACGGAAGCAGTCAGGCCACGCCCAGCGGCCTGCGCTCGGGGGTAGGTCCCGGCTCAGGTCCTGGCTTGGTCCTGGCTTAAGTCCGGGCTCAGGTCCCAGCGCCCGGAGTCACAAGGCCGGTAGGCAGGGGCCCCCAGCCGGCAAGCCGCATGGAGCCGCGCGCCGGGGACGGCTGCTTTCTGGGAGATGTGGGTACGTGCTTCGCGCCGCAGAGGCCAAGGGCACCACATAGGGGCTGGAGCCAGGACCAGGAGATCAGCTCCTAGGGACAGAATAAGCTCATGGATGGCCTTTATCCCGGAGATGGGCAGCACTCCCCGCTCCGAGTTGGTGGGGTGGGATGTAGAGATTCGAGCAGGGTCCGGGTGATCCTGAGCATCTCAGATCGGAGTTTAATGTCTGTCATCTTAATTCCAGTCCTGTGCACTGCGGGGCTGGTTATCCCTGTGTTGTACCAGGTGTGGGATTCAGAACCGCCAGTTCACCCGAGCACCGCACACTTTGGGGATCACGCGGGTCGTTGCCCAGTTCCGTGGCAGAACCTGGGAAGTGTGTGTGCACTGGGCACACTGGTTGGCAGCCTCAGCAGGAGCCCAATGCGGGTGCTGCACCACCTTCCGGGCGCTTGGTGCAGTGTGCATGCAGGGTCACAGCATCCTACCTGTACTCCAGCTGCTCCAGAATGAGGACACGGCCCAACACTGGGACATGCCTATCGCTCAAGAAGTGTTCTCTACCTTTAGGGCACCCTTAGAATAGTGTGGATTCGAAGGTGAAGGAGCATTCTTTGGAGAAGTAAATTTTTTCTTGCTTACAAAGTAATAATACGATAAATGAAAGTGTATTGTGAAAGCTTGGAAAGAAAACAAAACAACAACAAAGCTAAACAAACCAAAACGTCCACCCTACCCCAGCATTTTTACAGGAGTAAAAACAGTAAGGTAAAGAAAATAAAAAATCTTAAGAGTTAATTTAGCTGAGTAGGAAATTGCAGTCATAACAAAGCAGATAAATATTTTAATTGATTTTTGCAAAACAAACACCTTCAGAATGATCAAAAACCTTTAATGAACATCTGTTTTTCTTGGCACCCTAGGCTGGTCCAAGACTTTGACCCTGATAGCGTGATCAGTATTTGATTCAAGTGAATAGCAATGGATGGCTAACCATGGAAGCCTGTTAAGCATACATTTTATTTTGTTCAGGTAGAGGATAGCATGGCATCAGAGCCAGGCATGGTGGCAGTCACCTGTAATCCTATCCCTTGGAAAGCAGAGGAAGTAGGGGCATGAGTTCCAGGCCAACCTAGGCTATATAGCAAGACCTTGTTTCTAAAAAAATAAATATTTAAAAACATCACTCCCAAGTATATTTTCTGCATAGCTTGTAGAGAAGAAAATCATATTCTCAATTAGTGGGTGCATACTTGTTGGGGTTCTTGGATTTTTTTTTTTTTTTTTTTTTTGTGAGACAGGGTTTCTCTGTCCCAGAACTCACTCTAGAGACCAGACTGGCATTGAACACAAAGATCCACCTGCCTCTGCTTCCCAAAAGCTGGGATTAAAGGCATGCTGGCTTGCACCTCTACTGTCCTGGATATTTTTGAGATTGTCATTTAAAAAATTTAATATGCTCTCCAAAACTATGTCTTGCGGATATTTGTATTTCTGGTCTAAATGAAAAAACTGAATGTATTAGATCAAAACAGTATCACTGTCCTGGAGGCCACCATAGGAATTTTACCTGTATAACATTCTGACCTATAATTCTATATTCCTGCTGTAACCAAAATACTTATCCATACCACTTTTTAGATTGTTTTTGTTTGCTTATGTGGATGGATTCCCCCTCTCTCAATTTAATGAGGCCTTTGGAGAGAAGGGACAGAAAAGATCTTCCATGTATCATTGGGAACCCCATAGCTTCATTCTTTTTTCTGTGACCACCAGTCTTAGCAAGAATTCAGGATGTTTTCCAAGGCTTAGAGTGATACTTTGAAGGGTTGGAATGGAAAACTTACCCTAAAATAGGAATTCAAAGAGATGTTGTTGACAAGCAAGCAAGAAAAGCATACCTGAGACTAAAAAAGGGTTTCAAAGGAAGTAACAGTAATAAACCCACTTTCAATGAACAAAACAGCATGCATCCTTATCTTCTCTCCATAACGTGGCCCTGTAAAAAGTTATGTCCTTCATGAGAAAACTAAGGCTGCTGATTTCAAATGAAAACCTTTTCCAAAGTTCTTCAACAGAAATGGATAAGATAAGCCAGACATGGAGGTGCATGCTTGTAATCTCAGCTGCTCAGACAGGAGGGTTGTGAGTTCAAGGCCAGCTCAGACTACTACCAAAATAAAAACCAGAGAAGACAGAGTGAGAGTGCAGGGCTCTGTGCCATGAAACCCAGGCTCATTGTGCTCTGCGTGCCTGCGTCTGGGACTTGGGGACTAAGGGAGAGTGCCCTTATGTATTAACATCTTAGGTGGCTAACAGCAGGGAAGGAGACAGGCGGCAAATTACAGGGTGAGTGGATGTGGCCAGGAAGGAAAGGACGAAGGTCCGGTGTTCCCTGGCTCTGTCACCACTTAGGCAATCTGTTTTCACTTTCTCTTTCTCTTTCATTTTCTTTTCCCTAGTCTTTCTAAGTTACAACTCCCTAGTCCCTTTATGGAGGCAAACATTTTGTTTTTTTACCCCATTGTATGCTTTTTAAAAAAATATAGATTGGGATTATTTTCCTTTTTTTTTTAAACACTGAGTGGGTCACATTGCATGTCACTTACATTATGTTTTTTGTGCAAAGATATTTTGGAGATTCATAATTAAAACTTTTAAAAAGACATGGTTGAGAAATACCTTGAACACAAAAGCAGCTCAATTTTTTTTTTTTTTTTTTGAGACAAGGTTTCTCTGTGTAGCCCTAGCTGTCCTGGAACTAGCTCTGTAGACCAGGCTGGCCTTGCACTCACAGAGATCCCTTTGCTTCCCGAGTGATGGGATCAAAGGCATGTGCCTCCACCACTGCCTGGCCAGCTCAAATTTTAAAAGTAAAAATTTCTTGACTTCCAAAAGAAAATAGAAGTCACTGAAAGGCTCTGATCAGGTCCCAAATGACCAACTTATTATTTGGCTACATGAGGAGGAAGGGAGATGGGAGCAAGCTGGTAATGGGAGACCAATTATATAGCAAGGATTGAAGATGGGGCTCCAGCCCTAGAGGGAGCTTCCCGAAACAGTGCATGGTCTCAGATATCCATCACAACGCTACCCTCAGGATACAATGCTGAGATTCAGGAATGAGGCACTTTATCAGAACTGGGGTCTTAGCACTAAGTTGGACCATCCTGTCGTGAAACCTGGCCAGCCAGTTTCCCAGTTGACTGTGTTTCCTGCACTCAATCTTCAGGAATAGATTTAAGGTTCTCACCTACAAGCTGTCCTTCCCCTTACTTTTTTTGTTGTCCTTCCTGGTGCTTGGTTTTTATGAAGAGAATGCCTTAGTCCTCCCTAATTTGTAACCCCAGAGGAGCTCTCCAGTGGCCAGGAGTGTCAGATATGCCCTCCACGACTAGTGCCCCTGCCTGCTATAAAGCTGTCTTTTGCTGATGTCAGTGAGCTGGTGGCAGCTCTTTCCATCCTCAGGTTCTTCTCTGGCCTTTTGTTTCTGTAAGGGCTAATATTTCTTGTCGGCTTAATTGGACTTGGAATAACCTGGGAGATACACCTCTGGGTATTTCTGTGAGAGCCTTTCCAGAGAGGTACAACTAAGACCCAAAGGAATGCGGATGGCTCCCATCCATGGGCTGGCGTCCTGGATGGAATAGAAAAGAAAAAAGGAGAAAGAGAGCTAGAACCAGCATCCATCTCTCTCTGCTTCCTGACTGTGAACACAATGTGTGAGCTGCCTATGCTCTGCTGCTTTGTCTTTCCCATCGTGGTGGCTTTTATCTCTTCCCCTGAGCCAAAATAAACTCCTCTTTGCCTCAAGTTGCATTTGTCAGATGTTCTGACATAGTAATGAGAAAAGTAACTAATATAGTTACTCTTAAACACATTTTTAAACATTTTACTTTTATTATATGTGTGTGGGGGTTTGGTCTGCATATGTTTCTGTACCTCATGTATTCACTGCCGTCAGAGGCCAGAAGAGGATATTGGATCCTCCAGGGCTGGAGTTACAGTTATGAACCACCATGGAGGTGCTAGGAATTGAGCTTGGGCCTCCTGAAAGAGCAGCCAGTGTTCTTAACAGTTGATCCAGCACTCCAGCTCCCTTCTAAACATTTAGATTGTGGTAAAGAGCATATAACAAAAAGTTACCGGCTTAACCTTTTCAGATGTAGAGTTCAGTGGCATTAAGTACATTGCATATTAAGCACAACAATCACCATCTTTCACCCACAGAACTCTTTATATCATGCAAAACTGACTCCATACAGCTATTAGAAAATAACTCTCCACCTTCCTCAGTTCCATTATGGTGCTTTCTGTCCCTACAGTTGTGTTTCCTTTAGGTACTTCATGTGAATGGAATCAGATAGCATATGACCTTTTGTGACTGACTTATTTCACTTAACATAGTGTTTTCAAGGTTTATTCATATAGCATGTGTTCATATTTTCTTCTTCTTCTTTTTTTTTTTTTTTTTTTTTTTTTGGTTTTTTGAGACAGAGTTTCTCTGTGTAATTTTGTGCCTTTCCTGGAACTCACTTTGTAGACCAGGCTGGCCTCGAACTCACAGAGATCCGCCTGCCTCTGCCTCACAAGTGCTGGGATTTTCTTCTTATGTAAAGTTATGTGTGTATACCACATTTTGCTTATCCACTCATCTCTTGATAAACACTTGTATTATTTCTATCTTTGTTGTGTTTAATTGCCAGAGTATGGGTGAGTTTGTTGGGTTTACTTATAAGAGTATAGATGAAGGGTTACTTACAGGATCAGAGATAACTCAAAAACAGCTGCATTACCAAATGCAGCATGGATGATGGCACATGAAAGCTGGAAACTGGAGTTCACTGCACAACTGCAGCTCCACACTGGAGAGTGTCCTTTCCAGGCAGCTCAGTTGGTCTGAGCCTCTTCTAGGCTTGGCTTATTTGAGAGTGTCTCTTATCAGTTCTTTTTTTTTTTTTTTTTTTTGGTTTTTCGAGACAGGGTTTCTCTGTGTAGCTTTGCGCCTTTCCTGGAACTCGCTTTGGAGACCAGGCTGGCCTCGAACTCACAGAGATCCACCTGGCTCTGCCTCCCGAGTGCTGGAATTAAAGGCGTGCACCACCACCGCCCGGCCTCTTATCAGTTCTTACTATTTATGTATGTCCAGATAGTGAGAGACCTTGTGAATCTGGTCAGTTTCAGGAACTTCCTGATGCTATTGAGTTGTTTGTTTTCTGGGTTTTAAGAAGATTTCTTGCAGAATGTAATGTTTTACCTTCACTTAGAATATCCAGAATATCAATAGTCTTAATGAGCTTCCCTCTAGGATTGAATGTTTTATCTCAGGAAAAAAAAAAACTGCTATACAACAAATAAGTAAGAAGTAGCATCTCATTGTGATTTGGGTTTGCATTTCTTTATGATTAGCAATGTTGACAATCTTTTCCTGTGTTTATTGGCCATTTGTATGTCTTCTTCAGATAAATGTCTGTTAAAACCCTTTGCCCATTTTAAACTTGAACTTTTTGATGTTGTTGAATTGTAGAAGTCCTTTATATATTCTTGATATTAATCTCTTATCAGATATGTAATTTGCAAATATTTCCTTTCATTCTATGCATTGTCTTTTACCTCTGTTGATTGTGCCCTTTGATGGACTGGAATCTCTCCCCTTTCCTCCTCCTCCTGCTCCTTCTCTGCTTCCTTCCCTTCCACTTTTGACTGGCACATTTGCTGCTTCTGATTTCTGTCCTTCATGTTGCTGCTAAGACTATTGCAGTTGGTATTTGTTTACTGGAAAATGTGGTTACCAGCAATTGCATTTCCTCTAAAGACAGTCATATAAAGAAATAAAGTTAGATTGTCTTTTTCAAATTGTGTATTTTATACAAGGAAAATTCACTGAAGCCATTCCATCCATTCATGCAACCTTCCATCATACAGGTGAACACAAGCAACATGCATACTAGGTGCGGGGAACACAGAGATGAATAAGCAAAGCTTGACCTGTGCAGTCACAGCTTGTCTTTCTCTGTGATGCTTCCATGCACTTGCCTGGGTGTCTGGGAGATATGGCTTCTGAATTCCTATCTCTGGAGGCGCTTTCCCATTGTCATTATTGCGGTGTTTGGAATTGTTTCTGCATTCACCTTACCCCTAACTAGGAGCTACCTGTTGCATCTTACACATCTTTGTGCATGGAAGTGGAGTGTGCTGATCCTTTGTAGATATGCCAGGAATGATACATGGCAGGACCTGCACGTGATGCGATGGTTCCGCCTCAGGGCCTGCCTGTTCTGGTCCGGGTGGTCTTTGCCCTTCCCTCCCCTCCTCTCTTTTCCCCTCCCCTCCTCTTTCTTCCCTCCCCTCCCCTATCCCTCCTCCTCCTCTTCTTCTCCCTCTCACCACCCCAATACAAACCTAAGGCTTACCTTGTGGTCCTCTTCTTTTTAAAGTTGCATGCAACTTCTCTTGCTTTGGGGTTTTCCTCTCTCACACTGACTTTAAATTGTTAACTAGCTACTTCTCACTATTTTCTCAAACTGTATATTGCTGCTTATGAGGCACATCCCTCTTGGTAAGGTACAGTGTACAGAGGTACATGTGTGGAACTGTTAGGCACAGCAGTAAGCTATAGCTGTGTCTATATAGGACCAGGGGTGGGAAATGGGATCATAGTGTGAGCCAGATCCATAGCACAAACATCCTTATATGCCCTGGCAAGGACTTTGAACTGTGCACTCTAGCTAGTTGGGATTGTTTATGGAACTTTCTTTTTTTAATTTATTATTTTATTTCATGTGCATTGGTGTTTTGTCTGCATACATATATCTGTGTGAGGATGTTGAATCCCTTGGAACTAGAGTTACAGACAGTTGTGAGCTGCCATGTGGGTGATGGGAATTGAACCTGGGTCCTCTGGAAGAGTAGTATGTGCTCTTAACTGCTGAGCCATTTCTCCAGCCCTGCTTATGGATTTTAATAGGAGCACTGGGACCAGTTGCATGGTCACATATGGTGTCTTGGCTGCCAATGGGCCCTGGAGCCTCATGTGTATTCATTTGTTCTGATGGAAGTAGGAGGGTCTTAGTAAGCATTCTGTTTCCTCTGCAGGTTTCTGGGTGGAGCGCACCCCTGTGCATGAGGCAGCTCAGCGGGGCGAGAGCCTACAGCTTCAGCAGCTGATTGAGAGCGGGGCATGTGTTAATCAGGTCACCGTGGACTCCATCACACCTCTTCATGCGGCCAGTCTGCAGGGCCAGGCCCAGTGTGTGCAGCTGCTGCTGGCAGCTGGTGCCCAGGTGGGTGACCACATGGGACTGACAGCTACCTAACTGCAGCTGTGGGAGTGGATGGGCCAGGCTCAGGAGAACACTAGAGAGAAGAAAAGACTCTAAGCTCGTGCAAACATGGATAGACAGGGTGCTCTAGGTTGCTGAAAGCCATGGGAGGAGGTGGGATGGTTGCTGTGGACCAGAGCAGGGCAGTGTTTATGGATGGGGCAGTTTTAGCAAAGTGGTTTAGCATAACTCTGCTCTGAGATGATCAGGGCAGAGCAGGGCAGCCATGGACCAGGCACAGACTCTCTGAGAGCAGTTGGGCTTGGGCTGAACAGTTGCTGTGTAGGTTTAACCAACAGAGTTCTTGATTCCAAGTTATCCAAGGGAGGTGCTGGTAAAACAACTGACTCAGGATCAGGGAACGAAAGTAACAGAACAAACTTCTGACCTGGATGCCTTCGCCGCATGCCTAGTTCACACACAGCACAGTTAGTTTTAGCTGCCAGTGGTTTCCATTCTGCAGGCTGTCTGCCTGCTTAGCGGAGCTGTCAGGATCTGCACCATCCCCTGTGCTGGTGCTTATAAAGAATGTCAGGCTCTGGTCTTGGAGCTCACCAGATGAGAGCAGAGCCAAGGCAACGCACCATTTACTCATCCCCAAAGCTTGGAATTGACCAAGTTTCACAGTTTTCAGTGTGTAACCATGCAGAAGCCAAACTTAGATAAATTCTAAGTGTGTTTTCCCTGTCCAGGGAGCTGCCTTCTTTTCGCGAGGCATGCTAAGCAGTATGGAGCACTTTTATTTTTTTGTAGCCAAAGCTTGAGTTAAAACTCATCTTGATACCCGTTTCTCCAGCTTGCAACCTCAGCCTCTCCTTTCTGCCCTATGTTTATTGTTTGCCTGGGTTGGTAGTGAGGGTGAGGCTGGGTTTTATCCTGCCCTGGGAGGGAGGGGCAAACCTTCAGTGAGGTTTAAGAGACTCCTACGCATTCCTGCCTCCAGTCCACGCGTCTTTCGCTTTGAACTCCCTTGCCTGGCTTGGCGCATAGCAGCGAACTGGTAATTTTAAGACATCATCTTTGCAAAGATGAATCTGTATAAAGATTACAAGCTTCATCACATTCATTTACTTCACCCTTTGACGTTGGTTTCTTCTGTTGTTTGAGGTGGATGCACGCAACATTGATGGCAGCACCCCTCTTTGCGATGCCTGTGCCTCAGGCAGCATCGAGTGTGTGAAGCTCTTGCTGTCCTATGGGGCGAAGGTCAACCCGCCTTTGTACACAGCATCCCCGCTACACGAGGCCTGCATGAGTGGTGAGTCTCCGTGATAGGGACCGTTGAATGGCCCGGGACGAAGCACTTAGAGCACAAAGGAGCCTGGTGGCCTGTGTGGGTGGCCTGTGTGGATGCGGGGAGGGACCAGTAGGATCTCTCGGTTCTTGTCTTCTTGAAGAAAAGAATTCAGTCAAGAAACAGAGTTTAAGCAGAAGTTTATTTATCGAAGCTAAGCAAAACAAACACTCCACAGAAAGATTGGAATGGGCAATCCCCAGGTGTGAGCAGCCCAGAGAATTCTGAGTTGTGGATCGTAAAGACATTTTATGAACATTTGTGAGGTAGGAAGCATATTCTCCTCCTACATTATGGTGGACCAGACTTTCCACTTTAGGGTATTTCTTCTGATACTCTAAGAAAACAAACCCCACGAAAGGAGAGGAGTATGTCGAAAACCTCAATGCCAGCGGTATTAATGATGTCAGGTTTGGGGATGTGGACCCTTCATTAACGTGCATGTGTGGGGAAAGGCCTTCGTGCCTTCATCTCTGATACACTGGGAACAACCTAACTGAAGCTTCAATGATGCCTGTCCACCAGGGATACTTGACCATCAGGAGACACAGCTGCTAAGATGTACTTGGTTACCTCACATCTAACTCCTTGCCCACCCAATATCAAGTAGGATTTGATCTGAGGGAAAGGTTCAAAAATGAGATAAGAAGTGACTCAGGCTAAGCTGGGAACAATGGCACTGACTGAAAAGAGTTTATCTAGGAGCAGGGACCTCTGGGAAAGAGGACTGACTATGTGCTGGTTGTAATGTTAAGATGAGTGTGGCTAGCAGTAGGTGTAGGTTTTAGGGATGGGGATGGTTACTGGGCAGCTATCAGCAACAAGGCAGTAATTAAGTGATATGGGAAGATGGATGCCCGGTGGTGGTGGCACATGCCTTTAATCCTGGCACTCAGGAGGCAGAGGCAGGGTCTACAGAGTGAGTTCCAGGACAGCCAAGGCTACACAGAGAAAGCCTGTCTCGAAAAAAACAACAGCAACAACAAACAAACAAAAACAAAAGCAAAAAAAAGAAAGAAAGAAAGAGAAGATGGAGTCTGTGGCAGAATCTTCTTGGAAAGGAGAGAAACAGGTCCCCAATCCAAACTGGCTCTGAAGACAGGAGGAACAGGAAGCGGCCAGAGAGGTGCCAGAGAAAGGAGACTGGTGGGATGCCAGCAGCTATGTGTGTTTTCTATAGCCTGGATGTTCCCCAGGAACTTGGAGATGAGGATCAGGATAGTCTTTGATCCCTGTGTCCAAGTGGTTTCCCATGTTTTCTGTACTCAGCAGGGAAGCAGCTGTGACCCTTTCCTTTTACTACCAAGTGAACTCCTGAGGGGAGAGATGTCTTTGTATTCTTCTAGGGCCATGCAGAGTTACCAACCACTTTGTATGTTGACATACGTGGAGGACCAGCTGGGAGACTGGCTCCCACATTTTACCCCAGGGTACTCTTGAGGAGAGAGGGATAAGAGATATATAGACAGAAGGATAGAGGGGAGAGAAACAGAAACATAGGATAGCCTCGGGAGGGCCTAGATCCTTATCCACCTGCCCCCTCCTGTCTCTTTGAAAGGGCTATTTATAGGAATGCCAAGGGGTGGAGCAAAAGACCTCCCCACAACACAGCTAAGTGCAGACCATCCCAGTCACCTGGAAACCATGCACATGGTCAAGCAATCCTCTAATGCAGCTCTGCTGGGTAAAGCAAGCTCAGATCTCACTAGGAAACCTTTGTGGGCCTCCACAGAAATATAGGCTGTTTACCCTCTGTTCCTTGCAGGACCACCTTTTCAGCTGCTGTTTGTTCTAGTTACCATCTCCAGTATACGTATTCATGAACATTTCCATCTTTCTCCATTTCTTTTAAGGGAGTTCTGAATGTGTGAGGCTTCTTATTGACGTTGGGGCCAATCTGGAAGCTCACGATTGCCATTTCGGGACCCCTCTACATGTTGCCTGTGCACGAGAGCATTTGGACTGTGTTAAAGTGTTGCTCAATGCAGGTATGCTGCTGTTTACCCAAACTAGCATTTACCTGAGTGGATGACTTACCTGCGCTTTGCTAGCAGAGGTCTGGGTAGTGGAAGCAGACAGAAAAGGGTTTGAAATTGGTTCTCCTACTACTCAGAGAGACCTTGTGCCTTAGCCTCTGTATCTATAGAACTAGAAAAAGAAAATCTATTTTTCCAGGTGTTAGGAATATTCTCAATAATGTTTCTGCAATGTCTGGTATACAGTCAACACTTAGTAAATGCATGTGACTACTTTATTATTTGTGTGTGTGTGTGTGTGTGTGTGTGTGTGTGTGTGTGTGTGTGTGTGTGTGTGTGTATTGTACATGCACCAGAAGGGGATATCAGATGTCCTGCTCTGCCACTCTCTGCTCTGCCGTATTCCCTTTAGACAGGGTCTCTCACTGAATTTCAGGATAGGCTAGCAGCCTCAGTGATCCTCCTCTCTCTACCCCTCCCAGAACATGGTTACAGGCCACAGAGCCGTGCTTTTTATATGGGTCCTGGAGATTCGAACTCAGGTCCTCTTCTGTGCACAGCAAGTACTCCTGCTTGATGAGCTGTCTCCTCAGGCCTGTGAATGGTTATTTTTAGTGAACACAGGCAGCTGTTCAGAATGTCTGCCTGATGAGGTTTTCTATCTGAATCTGAGTCAGAGGTATAATGGGAAATGGGGTTGGCGGCATATAGGAGAATGGAGCACGTATAATCTGGCTTGTGGTGGATATTTGAAAAAAGCTCCCTGCAGAGAGATTCCCAAAGTGAACAGAAGGTCTACACATGTTTGGGATAGATGAAATCTTTTTGGTTTTCTGAATACTTAAATCTTTGGCTGGTTGGCTCCGTGAATACAGAATCTAACCGCACCAAGATGGCTGTTGGAATGAGGAAGCCAATTACAACTGGGTGAACAATGAAGGTCGTTTTTTGGTTCATGTGACAAAATGTGAGAAGTGTAGCAGAAGTATAGTCATTTTGATCTCATGGTTCAAGAGTGTCACTATGCCTTTGAATTTGAAATCTGCTTTTCTTAGTGTTAGCTATTTGCTATGTTAGTGGATAAATGGATGCAGCTGATAAAAGCTGTGTGTGTGTGTGAGAGAGAGAGAGAGGGAGAGAGAGAGGAGGAGGGAGAGACACATGTATGTGAGTGCCTGCAGAGGCCAGAAGAAGGCATCAAATCAAATCCCTGGAGCTGGAGTTATAGGCAGTTGTGAGAACTGCATCTCTCAGCCCTTCAGCCCTTTACATTTAAGGCTCTCTCTTAGCTTTTTCAGAAGAGTGAAGAGTTTCCCTCTCTGGGTCGCTAGTGTACCTCCCCCAATGCTCCATTGACTTAAATGAGGTCTTGTGTCCAAACCTGATCCCTCTAGTCCAGATTTGTCAAATGTTGATTGGATTACTTGAACCAAGTACTATGGTAGAGGGAAAGGGATTGTATCAGTCAGAACCCACCCTGGAGCTGAGGGTAGGTCTGTCCGCTCACCACACCCCAATTCCCAATAGTTTTTAAAGGGAAATGTCTATATATCCAGGAAATTGAGGATGAGTAGAATTTCGGGCAGGGGGCATCTCCTTTCTCCATGGAGGCAATTAAGCATTAAGAAAAGATGCAGTTTGGGCAGAATGTACCAGAAAAGCAGAAAAGAGGGTCCTGAGCCCTGATCCAAACAGGAACTGAAGACAGGAGGAGTCTGGAAGAGGTAGACTAGAAGCCACTTTAATTTCTCATGGGCTCCCTCAACAGGATTGTCTTTTAAGTATTTTCCCTTTGAACTACTTTCTCATTGTAAAGAATTTCCAACCTCTGTAGAAGCAGAGTGAGATAGCATAGTCCTAGGTCCTCACACATGGAGTCTTACATAAGCAATGAGATTTTATACTGCGGAGGCTGAGTCATAGGCCTGTTGGAAAACCCAAGGAGAGCCACATTCCACAACTCCAGAAACATACAGTAGGTGCTTCTGCAGTGACATCAGAGGTCCTGGCTCAGCTGGAGGTGCTGAGCTATATATGGAGTGGTCATACTGAACTGTGCAGGTGAACAGAGGCGGTTGCTCCTTTTCTTTTTGTAGGTAGAGAGGCTGAGTTAAGGAACTAGACTGTTTCCAGAGGAAGAGAACTGGTGAGGATCAAAGTCCAGTTATTACAGTTAAGTAATTTTTCATCTGACCACTAATAGTAAATATTTAACTCTTCTGGAAGCGTCCAGAACTGGGTAGTTAAGGATTATTTGCACTTCCATCTCCTTGGCAGAGCCCATGTGAGTGTGTTTTGAGTCATTCGGGCTGATGTCCCAGGATTGTGGCTGTTCTCAGCTGTGTGCTAGGGTGTGTTGGGGTGACCCTCATTTCACTGGTTTTCCTCCAAATCACATTAATCCTATTTTGTTTTGAAGTTAGGATTTTGGTAATGAGCTAGCTTTGACCCCTTTTTCTGAAGCATGAAATTGACAGTTCTTAATGCCTAGAAGGTGCTTTACCACCTCCCACTACTTGGCCACTGTGCCTCAAAGTCACTCCCTTCTGACATTCTTCCCTCCCTCTCCTTCTGTTCCTGCTCCAGCTTTCTAATGAAAATCTCCCCGTGTTGGTCATATCTCACATTTCTGCTTTCATTGAGCCCTAACTTGAACCCATGCATATTCCTGTGCACACACTTGGTCTGATGTTTCCAGTCGGCTTCCTTCTTTTACCCTCCTTCCTTTCTTTCTGTGTTTTTGTTTTGTTTTTTAATTTAACTTTTTATTTTATGTTCACCAGTGTCAGGGTGTCAGATCTCCTGGAACTGGAGTTACAAACAGTTGTGAGTTGCCATGTGGGTGCTGGGAATCTGGGAACTGAACCCGGGTCCTCTGGAAGAGCAGCTAGTGCTCTTAGCCGCTGAGCCATCTCTCTACCTCTGCTCCTTCCTTTCTAACCAATCAAATAATGCCAAGCACACATTATGGAAAAACTTTATTGTTGACTTTGGGAAGGCCACTTTGAAAGAGTCACTCATGGTCCAAGGCCTTATCTCAGGAGCCAAGGTAGCAAACAGTGAGGAAGGAGGGGTGTATGTTCCAGATCTTTCCTGCTTCCTTTTTTTCTCCGACCTTGAGGGTGTTTTGCTTCCTTGTGTCTTTTTCTCCATTGTTAAAATTGAGATAATCACATTCCTTCCTGGTTGGCAAGAATACTGTAAGAATCAATATGAGAAAGCCACTTGGATTTTAGATTCTGTGATCTTTACAATTTAGTTTTCATTACAAATTGTGTATCTAGCATTAAAGTTTATTTTTGCATAATGATTGCAACAGTCTAAAAATTATTCACTCCTATAAGCAAGTATTAAAAGAAAACCGTCTGAGGGAATAGAGTGACTGGATTGCAGGACAAGTTTTCCTGATTTCCCTTTCATGCCATTTTGTAATTCCTGTGTGTGATTCAAAGCTTCTCCTTCAGGGAGTCAGCAGGCAGTCCCTCCTGACCTGAGCTTTCTTCATTCCCAGGAGGAGTGGAGAGCGTTCTCAGGATCACACTGTGCTCATTGTAATGAGTACAGCTCATAATTCCAGAGAAGTAAGCACATTTTAAAGCAGAAAGCTGGGCTTTTCCAACAATGTTTCCAGTAGCAGAAATAGCTCAGAAAATGCTCACTCAAACAGTGGCATATTGCTGGCATAGCCGTGGTTTTACCACCGTGGTTTTACCACTGTGGTTTGAAACTGTAATTTGGGGAATTTTTTGTTTGTTTGTTTTTTGTTTTTTGAGACAGGGTTTCTCTGTAGCTTTGGAGCCTGTCCTGGACTAGCTCTGTAGACCAGGCTGGCCTTGAACTCACAGAGATCCACCTGCCTCTGCCTCCCGAGTGCTGGGATTAAAGGCGTGCGCCACCAACGCCCGGCTTCTTTAAAATAATTTAATCTTTCCGAATTAATTGTTATCTATTAATTCTTTACTGGTTCAGGAGGAGACTTCAAAGAAGTTAACATCTTCTATACAAATTCTGAGGCCTTAGAAAATCCATTATATAGGACCAGTGATTGTTATGTGTTAAGAAGGACGTTTCACAGAGACCATTTTGTAATAAAAAATTTTAACTTTTAAACATTTACCTTAAATTTTTATTTATTGTGATTGTATGCATGAGTTCAGGTGTGCATGCCATAGCACATTCGTGTGATCAGAGAACAGCTTTGTAGAGTTGGTTCTTTCCTTCCTGCTTTTTGTGGGTTCTGGGGATTGAGTTCATTTTCCAGGCTTGTGCTGAGCCATCTTGCGAGCCTAAGTCTTTATTTTTTAATGTATTTTAAATGCTATATTTTCTTACTAAATCTTTGAATCTTTCTGTATGCCCCAGCTGAGTTCACAGCTAACCTTCAAGCACATTATCTGTTTCCCCTCTATCTTTCCAAGTGTATGAAAGAATATATCTAAGGAATATTCATTCTTTCATCCGACCTGTTACTTTTTGAGTTCACGGTGCCCGTGGTAGAGCAGCTGTGTCCGCTGGCGTGTCTGTGTCCAAGTATAGACTGCAGCATTTGGGTGACTCAGGATGAGCCTCTAGAAATCTAGGGACCTGTGAGGACATACTACAGGGCACCTCAGAACAGACTTTTGGCCCATTAGAAATCTTTTATTTTGCTTTTTTGGGGGAATATATATATATATTAATATATATAATTACTGCTGCCCTCACTTTCATAAGGAAAAATAATTATTACTATTGGATTTTGAGAAGGTACAGTAGAGTCTGTCCTGATTTTGTTGTCTGGGCGGGGATTGTTTTGTGCTCTGCTGAAGGGTGATGTGTAGGTTGGTCTTCCTCTTGGTTCTACGTTCTCCCTTTGGTGACAGACATTCTCTGCTCTGGCCCCCCAGGGGCCAATGTGAACGCAGCAAAACTTCACGAGACCGCCCTTCATCATGCGGCCAAGGTAAAGAACGTTGACCTCATCGAGATGCTCATAGAGTTTGGAGGCAACATCTACGCCCGGGACAACCGGGGGAAGAAGCCCTCGGACTACACGTGGAGCAGCAGCGCCCCAGCCAAGTGCTTTGAATACTATGAAAGTGAGCCAGGCTCTGTTGTGCAAATATTCCCATATCCCAGTGCCTTAGTTAGGGTTTCTATTGCTGTGATGGAATACCAGGACCAAAAAGCAAGCTGGGGAGAAAAAGGTTTATTTGGCTTATACTTCTGTATTGCTGTTCATCATCAAAGGAAGTCAGGAGAGAAACTCAAACAGGGCAGGATCCTGGAGGCAAGAGCTGATGTAGAGGTCATGGAGGGGAGCTGCTCACTGGCTTGCTTCCCTGGGCTGGCTCAACCTGTTTTCTTATAGAAGCCAAGGCCACCAGCCCAGGGATGGCACCACCCACCATGTACTGAGCCCTCCCTCACTGCCCAGTAATTGAGAAAATGCCTTACAGCTGGATCTCATGAAGGCATTTCCTCAACTGAGGCGCCTTCCTCTCTGATGACTCTGGCTTGTGTCAAGTTGACACAAACCCAGCCAATATACCCAGGCTGCCAGGAATCACCAGCATTCATCTTGGGCCCCCAGTTTGCTAGTTCTCCTTGAATTTGTGCTGACCTCTTTGAATCAAGTCCTGAGCTCCTGTCCTTGGTCACTAGGATGTACTAGGGGTACTTCTGTCTCTAAGGACTGTTTTGTCCTGAAGCACCGGCTCTTGCTGTATTCCTGTGGCATGTGATGGAGGAAGGAAGCCTGTAGTAGCATGAGCAGGCTGCTAGCTCCTTCCCTGGCATAAACCCCTTACTCATGCCTCATTTGTGACAAGTGAGCCTCTTAGCCACAAATTAGTTATTTGCTGATAAGTCTCTTTGCCAAATAGTAAGTAGCAAAACAAACCAACAATCCCTCCAACAAAACAAGAGACCCCTGTCTTGAAAGACCCAACCCCACAAAATGGATCCCTGTGGATATCACCAGAACCTTATTGCCTGGCTTCATTCCTCGGGTTCCTGGTTATCTGACCTTCCAGAGATGACACAGGATCCATTCTAATTCTAGGGGGAAAGGGAGGCTCTTTAGGTTCTGCCTTAGCACTCATTAGATCGCAGGATGTGCTTCTTCTAGAAATTATCCTGATGAATTTCCTTGATCCTTTCGTTCCAGAGACACCTCTTACCCTCTCCCAGCTCTGCAGGGTGAGCTTGAGGAAGGCCACTGGCGTTCGAGGGCTAGAGAAAGTCGCCAAGTTAAATATCCCTCCACGGCTCATCGACTACCTTTCCTACAATTGAGCTGCAAGCAGGTGGCTGGAAAGGCTTGTGACTTGCCTGGCTATCACCTTGCTGTGCCTAGCCTTGGGCCCTAAAGAGTTCTGTCTGTTTCTCTGAAACACTATTGTTGCTGTAGATAGATTGACGCTCCTCCATGTTCTTTTTGGCTGTCCTTTTCGATGTCTTCTGAACCCTGGAGAAGATCTCTGGAGCACCAGGTGGCCGTGTCTGACATCACAGTTGTGGATGTAACCCTTGCTAGTCTTCTGGAACTAATGCTGTCATCCTAGGCTGGGCTCAGTTCTCCAGGTTTCCTCTTCGCACTGACCTCCCTCTAAGGCACTCAAGACAGACAGTTCAAGGTGCACAGGGAATACTGGGGACTCAGGACACTGATGTTGATTTTCCTGTATCTGGGTGCATGCCACAGAAGCATCAGGTTCTAAGCACCTGACCTTGTGGCCTAGGATGACCATTCTGCAGGCATCTTGCCACTTGGACAGTCTTTCTGGGGCAGCAGCCTGCACTTTCCAAGGTCTACCTGCACCCAGGTATATCACTCAGGGGCTTTACAGATCAGAGTGGGGAAAGTTCAGTCTTTGTATCCCTCCATCTAGCAGTGTTTCTTGGAATAATTGTCTCCAATATTAGGACCCAACTCTTTTTAAAAAGTTTATGTTGAGAACTGAGAGATAGCTCAGGACCAGAGTTCAGTTCCCAGCATCCACATCAGGCAGCTCACAGTGACCTATTACTTCAGCTCCAGGGGATCCGACACCTTCTTCCGGCCTCCTCAAGTATTCACACACACACACACACACACACACACACACACACACACAGAAGAGAGAGAGAGAGAGAGAGAGAGAGAGAGAGAGAGAGAGAGAGAGAGAGAGATACATAAATAAAAATGAAATCTTTTAGAAAGTTGGAAAATCTTTAGAATATATATATATAGTATATGTATATATGTCTCTCTATATGCATATATATATATATATATATATATATATATATGTTGTAACAAGATTTGTAAAGAGCCATGCAAACAATAAAAACAATAGGTGATATGAAGGCCTGGTGGCATGTATTCCCACGGATAGCCATTTCCATTGTAAAGGGCTGTTAGAAGACTTTTTTTGAGACAGGGCCTCACCATCTGACTATGGCTGGCCTGAAACTTGCTATGTAGATCAGGCTGGCCTTGAACTCATAGAGATCCACCTTCCTTTGCCCCCCGAGTGCTGTGATTAAAGGCATGCACCACCATGCCTAGCTGTTTGAAGACTCGGGATTGTTTTTCATTTGTTTCTCTATTTGCCAAATGGAGACTTCACCCACCCTTTTAAGCTAATTCCTCGAAGCTACAAAACTAGTAAAGTACAATGGCAACACCTCAGCACCCATGAATTCATTTTTCTTGCAGATGCTTCTGGAATATCTATCACATGTAAGACATCAGTGCAAGACTTGAATCAGATGGGAACGAGATTTGTCAGCCAAGGCAGGAAAGGAAAGTGGGCACAATGGCTTCCTATAGTAATAAAAATGAGTCCTACATTATGGGTGAAACATTAAGGCTTGCATTCAGACTGAATTTTCCTGATTAACATTCTATATCTTAATAATACAACAGGGAGAACTGGAGAATTCCATACCAAGAACTAGTCATTCTATACCAAGAAAAGCCAGTTTCTTTCAGTTATAGTCTTAGGTACAAGTTTTAAATAAATCCACGTTTCTGCATGTAATAGTAATAACAATGACTTCGAAAAGGCATTGGATTCTGCCTCTTTCATCTTTGTAACAGAATCTTGCCTCTAGCAATAAAACCCAATAGCAGTTCCATCCAGTTTATCTTTTGGTATAGAATAAGGTTTCTTCACCATTATTACCCAATAAAAGTGGTTGAATGAAGTCTGTCCTTGTGTCTTATTTTCAAGGACAGATGCTAAGATGGGCTTTATCCTGTGAGAGTGGAGTAAGGCCACTCCCTGTCCTAGGGACCTGATGACTAGCATTTTGGGTCCTTGACCACTCTTTTTTCAAGACAAGGCCCCACTGTGTAACTCTGGCCATCCTGGAACTCACTACGTAGACCAGGCTGGCCTCAAACTCAACAGAGACTCACCTGCCTCTGCCTCCCAAGTGCAGGGGTTAAAGGCACATCTCATCACACCTGGCTCCTTGTCCACTATTAAGCAGAGCTGTGATGATAAAAAAAGTTTCTTTGCTTCTCTGAGCCTGACTTGTCTCAGTTGCGGTAACAGGTCAGGCTTGGATCACTAAGATGATCCTGACCAACCAATGACTGATTTCTTTACTCTAAGTGAGGAAATGAGATCCATTATCTTCGTAGGTTTTTGTGGGGCTGAAGCTAGGTAACTGAAGGATGCTTTGGTAAGCCTAAAGTGCTCAAGTGTGAAAGGTACATGGTTATGGCTGATCTCTGGTTTTGTTGATGTTTGTAGATCTTCTGCCTATCTAAATCATTCTCTTCTGACTTTGGGAGGGTGCCATGTCTTTCAGGAGCTCTGTTGACACCTTGAAACTTGATGTGCAGTTGAAAGTTTGGAGAAGACATTTGTAATGTATAAAATAAGTAACATAATCAAAAATATAAAACTAGCTGTACATGGTATGTAGCTAGTTTTTTTTTTTTTTTTTTTACTCTTTGGGGGCCCGCCCCAAGCTCCCAAATAAATACATAGAGACTCATTCTTACTTATGAATGCCTGGCCTTAGCTTGGCTTGTTTCTAGCCAGCTTTTCTAACTTAAATTATTCCCTTTCTCTTTAACTACATGTTGCCTCTGGGCTTTTTACCTTGAATCTATATATCTTTCTTTCCTTCTTACTCCGTGGCTGGCTGTGTGACTGACCCCTGGTGTCCTCCTCTCCTCCTTTTCTCACTCCTCCCCTGCTCTTCTCTAGATTTCTCCTCCTATTTATTATCTCTGTATGCCAGCCCCACCTATCCTTTCTCCTGCCTTGCTATTGGCCATTCAGCTCTTTATTAGACCAATCAGGTGTTTTAGGCAGACAAAATAACACAGCTTCACAGAGTTAAACAAGTGCAACATAAAAGAATGCAGCACATCTTTGCATCATTAAACAAATGTTCCAAAGCATAAACAAATGTAACACATCTTAAACTAATATCCCACAGTAGAGGTACACACTTTTAATCCCAACACAGGAGGCAGAAGCAGGAGGAACTCTTTGAATTTGAAGCCAGCCTACATAGCAAGTTCCAGGACAGCCAAGGCTACATAGTAAAATTCTATCTCAACACACACACACACACACACACACACACACACACACACACACACAGAGAGAGAGACAGAGACAAAGAGAGACAGAGAGGGGGAGATGGGGAAAGAGGTTACCAATGGGTTTCAGTGTTTTTTCTTTTTTATTTTTATTGTATGTGTATGAATGCTTTGCCTGCATATATATCTGTGTACTGCATGTGTGCCTGGTGCCAGTGGAGGCTAGAAGAGGGTGTCAGATCTCCTAGAACTGGAGTTACAGATGGTTGTGAGCCATCTTATGGATGTTGGGAATCAAACTCAGGTCCTCTGGAACAGCATCCAGTGCTCTTAACTGCTGAGCTGAATCTCCAGCTCTTCTTCAGAAATAGCTAATGCATAAAGAAGCATCATCAACAGGCAAAATACCTTAAAAAAAAAGAAATACAAAGGAGAGAACTGTATGATTATTATAAACTGGATTCTCTGTGCTGTGAAACAGTTGTTTGGATCATGTGATCTCTGTTCCTCTATAGGCATTGACTTTTATTTTGGACCTACTCATAGATAAACTAAACCTTGCGACACTGGCTGTGCTGCTTGGCTTACAGATTTGTTCTCATCTCCTCTGAAGGAAAGCGCTGGATAAAACACCACTCAGGGTTCAGCCCTACTTCTCCTACATGGCTCACCCCTTAGATGATGACAAGCCTTCTGTTTTAGAGGTGCTATGCACAAAGTCCCCATCTTCAAGCCCTGCCTTTGGAGAGATAAAAAAGTAATGCTTCTAAGTAAGGGACCATTCCGCAGTTGCATCAGCTCTCCCAGCTTGTGCGGTGCAGGCTGCTAGACACCCCCATTCTTGAGTGCCTCCTGGTCTCTGCAGGTTTGAGGCATGGGGCTGGAGGGGAAAAAAGGGTGCTGATGGATCCAAGAAACTGTTTGTATCTGGGTGCCTTATAGTCTCCCAGGTAAGGTGTTATCTTTTCCTGTATCTCTGAAATGCTACCTACAATAATCCATCCAACTTCTAGGTAAGTCTTTGGAGAATTCGGAAATCATTTGTGACAAAAAGAATACCTTGGCATGCTTGGTTCTTCCCTGGGTTGCTTAGTTAAAAAGTAAACTTTCTTCCCGGGGTGATACCCTTCCTTTCTGAGCAGTGAAATTCCTTTATTCACCAAAGCGAGCATAAAAATGGGTCTGAGAACAAAGCCCTCCAGCTCACTCATATTGCAAGCAGCTGAGCTGGCCCACAGGCTAAGGCTGTACCACAAAGACATTGGCAAGCTATGGACTGTGCCTGCCATTTGGGCATCCCCATGTTTCGTGGAAGGGCCTAGAAGTTACTCCAAGCCCCTAGAGTCTTTGCCTTCTCTCTTTTACCCACTATGGTCCCACATGGCTTCTCTAGCTAGGCTTCAGTTACAGCATCAGGGAAGTCTTATATTATTTTGGCAATTTGAATGAAAACATGTTTCCAGTTGATACAGTCCAAACAGTGTCTCTGAGAAGCCTAAAGTTTCCAAACTGTGAATAAATGAAGAGATTCATATTCACTGTTGCTTTCATTTATTTGTTTAAATAAGATTTTATTCCCCTGCAGCTGGTCTCCAGGTGTACCCTTCTTGTGATCACAGCCTTTGAAGCTGGGGAGGATTTGCTCCTGAGCCCCAATCCAGGACATTTCCCCTGTTTATAAGTTTGCGTGCCAAGGGCTCAGCAAAGGCAACTCCCACTTCTTGGTATTAACCTGAGTCCTGAGGCTCATTCTGCTCCTTGAGGGACATGAGTGAGGCAAGTCAGGAAGGAACCTTTACTCTTTTCATGGCCCCTTTTTCCATCTATCCCCCCTTAGCTTTCCCTTTATCCCTCCTTTTCCAGTGTTTTGTTTCACATTCTCCAGGGAGCACTAATGGTCTGAAAAGAGACATAGAAACAGGGCTCATCTTGGATTTCAGAGTCTTTTTTTTTCCCTCAAGGGAAGAGGCACAGGAGTGAATACTGTGTGCTTCGTGTGGCTGGCCATGGTCTAGTTTCACAGGGTGGAGTCTTCTCTCCCAGTGGAATGGTGTTAGGGTGTGAAGCTTCTGGGAGGAATGAACTTGGAGGGTGGAACCTTAGTAAAAAAGTGACTTTCTTCCCTGCTGTGACAAAAACACCCAACAGAGGCAGCATAAGGGAGAAGGGGTCTATCTTGGCTCACAGTTTGAGGGAACTCAGTCCATCACGGTAAAGAGGCTGGATTGAAACTTGTTATATGGCTCCACATCTGGGACCATCAGAAAGCAGAGAATGCAGACAAGAAACTGGACTGGATTCTAACTCTCCAGGCCAGCCATCCCCCAGTGATGCATTTCCTCCAGTAAGGCCCTGGCTCCTAAAGTTTCACAACCTCCCCAAACAGTGCCACCAACTGGGGACCATGTATTCAAACACAGGAGCCTGTGTGGGTGGGGGGCACCTTTACATCCAAGAGATAGTAGTGTCATTATAAAAGAGTCATCAGAGAGTTGCTTGATCCCTTTCATCACATAAAGAGATGAGAAGTGCCGTGCACAAACCAGAACATAGTTCTTTACAGAAGCAAATAATTTAAGTGATTCCTGTCTCCTCAGCCAGCCAATCACAATGCATGCTTTTGCATTCAGTTAACAGTTATTAATAATTGTCCGACTATGACAGAGCTTAGGTTTGGCCACATCCTGTCCAGGTAATAAAGAAGAGCTGCCAAGCCACCAAAGGTACTGTTCTGCCCGGGACTGTGGGGAAGACATCATGGGAGTATGTCTCATTGCAGGAAGGGATTATGATATATCTGGAAGATCAAAGGGTGAACAAATACTATTATACCTAAAGTGACTACACAAAGTACAATTTAAAATACAGGTTTTTACCTTACACTGAATTTGAGAAAAGCAGAAGGAGGGTGAGCAGAAATGAGGAGAAACTTTGATCTAAATGCTGAAAGTATTTTGAGACTTGGGTGGGCTGTGGAAGTTTGCCTAATATGGATCGTGTCTTGAATTTTTTCAAACTATTTTGACTTTTTTCAAAATAGATTATTTATGTTAAGGAGATAGCTTGGTTGACAAAATGTCTGCAAACACAAGGACCTCAGTTTAATCCCCAGAATCTACTAAAAAATAAAAGCTATGTGTGGTAGTGTGCGCATGTGTGTGTGTGTGTGTGTGTGTAAGTGTAAAATCCCCGTGATGGGGAGGTAGAGACAGGTGGATCCCTGGGTTCCTACTCTTCCTGTACTCTCCTGAACATGTTGAGAAAACAGTCCTGGCACTAGAGAGTCACTTTCCTCAGTGTATTCACCTGAGAACACTCCACTCACCCACAGATTTTCTGACTTCTCTGAGGGTCCAGAGGCTCCAGTTTCTGCAATAGGGTTTCCTAAGAAAGTAGCCTGCAGCCAAAGGCTCATCTCAGAGTAATATTTTTAAATGAGGAAAGAAACTGTCCCCACTCTGTCACTTGGCTGGAAGCAGTGGCTTCCTGACACACAGTCATTACATCTCAGGGTTAGCAGTGACATGTGAGGCTGTCTGCCAGTGACCATCCGCTGTGTGGACATTTGCTTTGAGTTACTGTTTCCATGTGAAAAATAGAAGTAGCTCCTTCCTCCTGAGTCTGCTCTAAGGGAAAACTTTAC